GACCAAATGGTCGGTTGTTGGATCCCCAGCTGGGTCATGACATACCAAAAGATGGTACTTGTTGTTACCCTGCCTGGCGCTCAGCATGAAGGCGATAAAACAAGAACTGGTCGGCTTCCATCTCTAAATGGGGAATTCATGATCAACTGCGACATGGTACCTAAGGGGGCAGGCAATATAAACCGGTTTAAAGTTCAACTTGGATATTAACTCACAGACACTCATACTGGGCTTCCTTGTGTTTTAGAGAAAACATATTTCTGTCCCAGCATGCTTACTCATTTATTATTATAATTTATCATTTATTCATTTATTATGATAACCTTTTGGCGAGAAATGTCTTGATGCTCCTCCAACTCCCCAGTCTAAATAAGACGTATATAACTGGTGAGTCCCTACAAATGTACTCCCAATATGCAGATGTCAGACAGGCAATGCACATACACCTGGCTACAAGCAGACGGATACAGGGCTCTCCATGTCAGTGCTGGACCATCAGAACAAACTCCCCCCTAACCAAGCAGGGGACTTAGGCTGCTGATCACATGCACAAGAGTCTCGCTGTCGAGGCAGGTACTTCTAAAGGTTGTGTTTTCTCAATAATGAAATTACATGGTGGGCTGGGGTGAATGGAGTTGCCTCCAGCGTAAGCTACAACATCCAGCTGGCCAGTCTTGAGCAGTGCCTGCCTATACTTGTGCATTGAGAACAGCTCCAGACCATTCTGTCATGGTTTGACGGATACTTTATGTCTGTGAGCAAAGAACTTTCTGCAGATAAAGGAGTTTAATATATCCTGATATAGCAAATAACCTTGGTTTCCATATGTTTTGCAGAGAGAGAGGATATTTTGTTTTAGGGTGGAGTCATGGTGGATAAAAAATAGTGAGTGATAGCATGAGCAAAGTTTTTAAATATATTCAACTGGGGGCCAGGCTTTGTTTCTTGTTTGTTGTTTAACGCTGCACAAAGCAATATTGCAGCTGTATGAAGGCGGTCTGTAAATAATCGAGTCTGTACAGACAATCTAGTGATTGTCATCATGAACATTTGGGTTACAATGACATGCATCAACCAAGTCACCGTTCCTGACCACCCAATCCTGTCAGTCGCCTCTTATGGCAAGCATGGGTTGCTGAAGACCTATTCTCTACCCGGATATTCACGGGTTCCATTTGGTATGACCTAACACAGTGGCTCTAGTTTCAATATGACAATGATATGAATCTTTGTAATGTGTGTATTATTTTATGCTGACCAAACAGAAGCTCCTGGGGCAATGATGAACATTTATAACTGACTGTGGGGGAGAAGGTAAAGATGAAAGGACTGTATGTTACCTGTTGCCTGACTGCACCAATTATCCTGTAAGATAAACACACCTGCGAGGAGGCCGCCCTGTAGACCAGGTGAGTGAGTGAGTTGGGTTTAACGCCGCTTTTAACAGTATTCCAGTTATATCACGGCGTGTCAGCTTAATGTGAGAGGAAAGCCCGAAGTGATGCAGGTCTCAGACGTTTACCACTTCGGTGAAACCCACGAGCACGGGTATGGTGCTGACAAACCTAGAAACATAATCGGGGCGAACCGGGATTCGAACCCACAATCATAGGTTTCTGGCGTGCCCAAGCGACGCAACTCTGCACAGCGAATCGCGGCGCCTTAGACGACTGGGCCACTGTAGACAAGGAACAGCACAGTTGTAGCTGCTGCTTCAGAGAATTCAAACTCGATGTGATATGCTGATGACCTTTCTAGAAAGTGTACACCATGTTTGTTCCTTTTATCAAGACATGAATACATTCCATATTAACTGGAACTTTCACCTGTACAGCATATCTGATTGACCAGCTAAGAATGATCAACTTTGATTGGTCAGACCTCTCTGTAACTTTGTCACTCAATTCTGCCGGACTGAAATTGGTTTTGGAAACTTTTGATTATTTCAAAATAGCTGAACAAAGAAATAGATAAGGAGCTGAAATGCTCACATAATATTTCACCAGAGAGTGAGTGAGTGAGTTTTTAACACCGCTTTGAAGAGTATTCCAGTTATATCATGGCATGGCAGCTTAATGTGGGAGGAAACTTTCGCTGCCCGAAGTGATGCAGGTCTCAGACGTTTGCCACTTTGGTGAAATCCATGAGCACGGGTATGGTGCTGACAAACCTACAAACCTAGAAACATAATCAGAGAGAACCAGCATAAAAAAATTTATGATCATAGGTTTCTGACATGCCAAGGGATGCTGCTCTGCAAAGAGAATTGCTGCGCTTTAGACGACCGTACCACCCAGTCCCCCCAACTGTTTTTGCCTGTCTGTCTAATGCTGGCCTCAACGCCATCTTTTTGCTGGTGCTCTGAAATTCTGATGCTATGTCAGATTACACTACAGGGAGACAAGTTGTAATCAGAATAATGGAATTGATCCAATAATTTCACTCCACTAATCACATCTGGTAATTAATGTATGCTTAATTAGATAGTATCCCAATAAAGTGATTTTCCAACTAAGCTTATTGTTCGGACACATGGAGATGAAAAACACCAAATATGTTGGCTGGAGTATCAATATTAAAAGAGTCATAAAATCATACTCTATATTCTAATTTTTAATGTGTTAAAACTTTCTCCAAGGTCTGGTTGCTCTTTGAATTTGCCTTGATGAATTGTTGCAAACCAATATTGGTAATGACTTGAATGTAATTTTATAAAATGATGTTCTACTTTGGTACAAAATCAAGTTATTTCTCAGGTCTCTTTGCCCTTTGCATGTTAACTGTACAGAACAGATGTTCCGCTTTCTCCAGGATCCCCATGTACAAAATGTCCAACACAATTACTCTCCAGCCCTGCCGTGTTTAAAGACATCCCAAACAAATGTTGGTCAGATGTTCGTCTCCTGCTTGTAGTGATGATCTAATTAATGGGGTAAGTTGTACGTGAAGCAGGATCTCACCTTGTTAGACATGCCATCTGATTGGCCCAGTCTCGGTTGCATTCCAGGGTGTGAAGGACAATATTGGTTCAGTGCCAGTATCTATCAGACTAAATACGCAGACATTCTGGAACTGGCGAGGCGAACACTTTATGCCAGAAGGAAGACAACATGAAGGCAGTCGGGTGAATCAGGCATTTTGATTGGATAACATTTTCCTTTGGAAAAGTAAAAAAGTTTGACTTTTATCCAAAATATGATTGGAAGAGAGCGATTTAATCAAGTATTTTTTTTATAGATATTCCAGGTCAATATGTTCATCCAATCTAAAAGTGTATACTAAACTAAATAGAATTAAAGTAAACATAAGAAAATAATAATAAACATAATATAATGAATATAAGAAAATAATAATGTACAAAAAAGGAGAAGAACGAAATGTGTTGTTTTATAATAAAATGTAAACTATATCTCATATTACTTAAAAAAAAGATGAAAAACAAAAATAAATTGAATACCTATTTGAAAACAAAACAAAACATATTCCAAATAAGGTTACCAGCATGTCAAAAGGTACGACTGATCCCTCCGTCTTTCATCACGAGACTGGAGTAGCCTAGCACAAGGTCTAATACCATCTTTAACTGTTAACACTCCACATGTTCAAACACAATCAGGAATGAATGGACATGTTTGTGAATTATTTGTTATTGCCTTCCAACTTAAATATTTTCAGCATATTTTACGATTGTGCATACTACTGCAGAAAGACAAGCCTATTACTGTTCTATTTCTGAGAAATTATTAAAGAATTTACGAGTGGATGTGTGAGTTGGGTATGCCGCTGTGAACAATACGTCTGTTATATCACGATGTGTCAGTTTGATTTGGGACAAAAGCAGAATGTCATGGGTATGGTGCGGACAAACCGGAATTCGAAACCCATTAACATAGGTTTCTGGCACTTCTAAGAGACACATGGCACGGGTGGCCCAGTTGTCTAAGGCGCCGCGATTCGCTGTGCAGTGTTGCATCCCTTGGGCACACCAGAAACCTATGATTGTGGGTTCATTTCCCGGTTCGCCCCAGTTATGTTTCTAGGTTTGTCAGCACCATACCCGTGCTCGTGGGTTTCACCGAAGTGGTAAACGTCTCAGACATGCATCACTTCGGGCTTTCCTCCAACATTAAGCTTACGCGCCACGATATAACTGGGATCCTGTTAAAACCGGTGTTAAAACCAACTCACTCACTCTAAGAGACGCAACTCTGTACAGCAAATTGCGGAGCTGTTCAGAAAACTTGGCCAATGCGCCCCCATGATGAAGAAACTCAGTACTGTTGCTGAACGCCCACCCCACTCCATGTGTGTCTGACGACTATGTTCCCCTATCATGCCGTGTCAAACCGACACACACTGGTAAAAAGACAGATTTGTACAAATTAACACAATGATATCATCAGAAGCTGGTATATATCTGGGGTGTTTCTGAAATTAGCACATCACAACCCTCACTTCTAAAACATTCCATGAAATTGAAGAAATGATTGGCTCTGAACATTTCTGGTAACCTAAGTAACGAGCTATAGGCAGTTTCCCATACGTGTGCGCTAGATGCACCCACACACCACCTGGTGAGGGGAGACAACTTGTGTAGTTCCTGTGTAGGGCAGAACTTGTCAGTTGGCGACACCTGGTGAGGCTGATTAGGCAGACATGTTCATTGTGTGAAAAACTTTGAAGGTTGAGTAAAGTGAGAACCACTCTGGGTGTTGTAAGGTATTCAGGTGTCACTTCAGAATGTTGGAAGAATGGGCAACACTTATGGCCGGTGTCGTAACACAGAAAATGTGCTCATGTTCTGTTCCTTGCATTGGCGAAATTGAGATATCCTTGCAGATCTGTAGTAGAACTGGCTTCAGCAACACATACTTGTCGGAAGAGCTGACTATGCTTGGCGTAAGGGGCGACTAACAGGATCTGATGGTCAGGCTTGCTGACTTGGTTGATGCATGTCATAGTACCCATTTTGTGTGGATCGATGCTTGTGAGGTCAATCACTGGATTGTCGGGTCCAGACCGCTGTCATAGAGCTGGAATATTCCTGAGCGTGGCGCTAAACAACAAATAAACAAACAAACAAACAAACAGAAATAGAGAAATGTTGGAAAACTAGTTATCTCCCTTCCCTAAACATTTCCAGCACATAACAGACTTTCCTAATACTCAATACTAGTACTCAGTTTCCTGAAAGTTAAATACAATCAAAGTCTCAGTAATATGTAAGTTTTGGTTCTTCAGATTTATTTTATCAATGTGTAAAAGAAACAATCTACTTTTTTTCGTTCTTTAAAAACAGTAAAATATCCTTTATACTCTCACTTAAGGATAAATTATGTGAAGGAGATTTTTTGTACTAGCTGTGTGTCCGTGCTTTTTCAATGTTAATATGGGAACAGGTAAACTTTGTTTACAACAAACAGGTCGAAAAATGTTTACACAAAACAGCTGTATTACATTCTGATTGGATTGTTAAAAAACAGATTCGAGTGCTTCACAATGTGCATGTATTTAACAATATCAGCAGTTATCTCCCCTGTCAGAACCATGATATCATTTGTTATGACATAACCCACTTAACGGTGATAAACATAGGAGACTGCCAACAAAGATGCTCGATGTTGGAGGATTACGGAACTCAAGATGCTCTACAAAATGCCAAGATTGCTCACCTGGTGGTGTTTAGTTTGTTTACTGGCACTGGTATAGAACAGTTCCGTGATGTTAACAATGTAACGATCGTCAGGGAACGTTCTCACCCCAGGGGGTTTTGCTGCAGGGCTCCATCTGGTGACAAAAATGGGGGGAGTAACGGTGGTAAATTGAAACACATTTCGTCTTGGATCAACACAAAGTTTTTAAAGAAACTTTAAAACTCCCACTCCACCTGGTTTTGATAATAAGATGGAATGGCGGCCTTGTTTCATCCTGCTGAACATAAACATGATATGTTTTTGGTAATTATTTAGATAAACACCTTGAGGTTTGGAAAGGATTCCAAACTGTCACACACATATCTGTCTGTCTGTCTGTGTGTCTTCAGACCCTGAAGCAAATATATCCACTACAATTCATGCAAGTCTGTAATGTTTGGCAAGTCTAGATTACTGCAGTATCAGGCTGAAAATGAGGAGAGTCTCTTGGCTCCTTTTTATTTCAGAGACTAGATGTTAGTCAAATATCTCTCCTGTCTGGACCAAAGCTGTTAGAGTCGGCTGTTCCCAACTTGTCATTTTATTGTCAAGCTGTTGGAGTCAGCTGTTCCCAACTTGTCATTTTAGTGTCAAGCTGTTAGAGTCGGCTGTTCCCAACTTGTCATTTTAGTGTCAAGCTGTTGGAGTCAGCTGTTCCCAACTTGTCATTTTAGTGTCAAGCTGTTAGAGTCGCTGTTCCCAACTTGTCATTTTAGTGCCAAGCTGTTGGAGTCGGCTGTTCCCAACTTGTCATTTTAGTGTCAACATATGGAGCGTGTCGCTGGAGAGAGGAGGATGGGTGGTTTGATCCCCGGCCGCGTCATACCAAAAGACGTCCAACATGGTACTTGTTGTTACCCTGCCCGAGGCTCGGTATTAAGGGGCTAAAACAAGAACTGGTTGGGTCAGAGTCAGTATACTGAATGGGGTATAATTGTTTAACTATGGCATGGTATCTCAGTGGGCTAGCACTATGAAATCGGACAAAGTACTGACTTATACAAGCAGCCACACACACACATGCATGCACGTCATTATGTAAGTGCAATAATCGAGAATGCAACGCTAAACCCCATTCCACCTCACCATATGGGCTGTTAACATGTTAAGACCATGACTACGAGAACATATACAGGCAAGTTATGTGGACTTGGACAAGTGACAGACTTAATCTTGTCCAAATAAACATCCACTAACAGTTTAATACAGTGTTCCAGCATAACCAGGCCCAAATGAGCAAATAATGTTCTGTAAACAACATAACAGTCACATGTAACGGAACACAGCACCACGAGTATGAGGGGCCTCTCTGTGACAGCCTCTGTGAGGCAGGTGACGGCATTAGCCATGAAAAGTCCATGGATGTGTGGTAATTCTATCCTTCTAATAGGCAAGTCTAGATATGTGGACAGTAAGGACTCCAGTCTCTTATAGGGACAACTTGTTCTTAAGATTTGCATAATCTAAAACCTATGATTTAAACTAATAATTATTGCCTTGTGCAAGTCTAGTGACGGCCTCTTCAGTGTGATGTACCAGGAGAAGCAGCAGTTGGAGGCCATCTGGGTCTGTCTGCTTCCAGTAGAAATGTGGGGGGTGCTTTTAGTCCAGTGTATGTGCAGCGTGGGGGTGAAGGTAAATGTGGGGGTTGCTTTTAGACCAGTGTATTTGCAGCGTGGGGGTGAGGGTAAATGTGGGGGTTGCTTTTAGTCCAGTGTATGTGCAGCGTGGGGGTGAGGGTAAATTGTCGGGGGTGCTTTTAGTCCAGTGTATGTGCAGCTTGGGGGTGAGGGTAAATGTGGGGGTTGCTTTTAGTCCAGTGTATGTAGAGGTTGGGGGTGATGTGTTTTAGTTAAGGGTATGTGCCAATATCATAATGATGCTGTTAAGAAAACTTTGAGCAAACTTGCATTGAGTTCCATTAATTAGATTTGGACTACATTGGATTTCTACGCGTTTTTACCTTTTTCGTATGTTAATATTAATGGCTGTGTTAAAAAATAAATAGAGATATTTTGTCAGAAATTTTTAAAAAATAATTCATTATCTGGACTTCATATATATCTATTCTTCAAATATGTTACGATGATTATGTTTTAAATGTTGTTTTATTTAATTTGATTGGGTATATTTTCAAGTTTACCATAGTCAGCAGGCACACGATCCTTCATTTTCAGGAGGGGCGGTCGGGTAGCCTAGTGGTTAAAGCGTTCGCTCGTCACGCCGAAGACCCGGGTTCGATTCCCGACATGGGTACAATGTGTGAAGCCCATTTCTGGTGTCCCCCGCCGTGATATTGCTGGAATATTGCTAAAACATCGTAAAACCATACTCACTCACTCACTCACTCACTCATTTTCAGGTTGGCAACAAAATGACAGTCAGTTGAGTGACAATTAAAATGAAAACAATCCCATCCTACATAATGTACATCCTAAATTATATATCGTCTTTAAACATTGGATTAATATAGCTTTTAAAAGACATGTTTTGATAGGCATATAACACACACAATGTACCCATGGATGTCATTTGGAAAGAGGTTCTAAGAAATCAAACCAATGAGTCAAGGACAGGGCAGCTGTTGCAGAGTCAAAGAGCATAGTGTCCATACAACTGATTATTGATAAGTAAATTGTATTCTACTTACATTATAATCAGTTGTAAGTGTGGCGGCGGTATCCTGCTAGTGGGAGGTTCTGAGGGTGAATCCAGCCTGGCATTTACTTCTATAGATGTGACCTACTTGCTTACATCGCCAACAACCAAGGTTGTCAGTATCTCAATGGTGGAAGCAGATATATAGTCTAATGATGCCTTTTTCGGAGAAGCCTGCTCATGTAAGTTGATGAAATTATGATTTGATTGGGTGTAATTTGGGTGCATCTGTACTGGGGTACTGTGACATTTGCGGCGTGTGTTTTAGACTGGTGCAGCAGACAGGAAGGCGGAATCATTGCTTGTGTGTGATCGTGTGTGTAACACCAGTCCGATGTCACGGTCGCTGTTTGTTGACCTACAGATGTTCTAATAGGGTGATGTGGGTAGACAAACTAGTGCCATGGTGTGATGCTTGCCATATGGAGACATGCAGCATGGTTGTATTGATACACAGTGTCTGATGTGTACAGTCCCTCCATCTTGTATTGATACACAGTGTCTGATGTGTACAGTCCCTCCATCTTGTATTGATACACTGTGTCTGATGTGTACAGTCCCTCCATCTTGTATTGATACACTGTGTCTGATGTGTACAGTCCCTCCATCTTGTATTGATACACAGTGTCTGATGTGTACAGTACCTCCATCTTGTATTGATACACAGTGTCTGATGTGTACAGTCCCTCCATCTTGTATTGATACACAGTGTCTGATGTGTACAGTCCCTCCATCTTGTATTGATACACAGTGTCTGATGTGTACAGTCCCTCAATCTTGTATTGATACACAGTGTCTGATGTGTACAGTCCCTCCATCTTGTATTGATACACAGTGTCTGATGTGTACAGTCCCTCCATCTTGTATTGATACACAGTGTCTGATGTGTACAGTCCCTCCATCTTGTATTGATACACAGTGTCTGATGTGTACAGTCCCTCCATCTTGTATTGATACACTGTGTCTGATGTGTACAGTCCCTCCATCTTGTATTGATACACAGTGTCTAATGTGTACAGTCCCTCCATCTTGTATTGATACACAGTATGGTTGATACACAGTGTCTGATATGTACAGTCCCTCCATCTTGTATTGATACACAGTGTCTGATGTGTACAGTCCCTCCATCTTGTATTGATACACTGTGTCTGATGTGTACAGTCCCTCCATCTTGTATTGATACACTGTGTCTGATGTGTACAGTCCCTCCATCTTGTATTGATACACTGTGTCTGATGTGTACAGTCCCTCCATCTTGTATTGATACACAGTGTCTAATGTGTACAGTCCCTCCATCTTGTATTGATACACAGTATGGTTGATACACTGTGTCTGATGTGTACAGTCCCTCCATCTTGTATTGATACACAGTGTCTAATGTGTACAGTCCCTCCATCTTGTATTGATACACAGTGTCTGATGTGTACAGTCCCTCCATCTTGTATTGATACACAGTATGGTTGATACACTGTGTCTGATATGTACAGTCCCTTCATCTTGTATTGATACACAGTGTCTGATGTGTACAGTCCCTCCATCTTGTATTGATACACAGTGTCTGATGTGTACAGTCCCTCCATCTTGTATTGATACACAGTGTCTGATGTGTACAGTCCCTCCATCTTGTATTGATACACAGTGTCTAATGTGTACAGTCCCTCCATCTTGTATTGATACACAGTGTCTGATGTGTACAGTCCCTCCATCTTGTATTGATACACAGTATGGTTGATACACAGTGTCTGATATGTACAGTCCCTTCATCTTGTATTGATACACAGTGTCTGATGTGTACAGTCCCTCCATCTTGTATTGATACACAGCATGGTTGATACACAGTGTCTGATGTGTACAGTCCCTCCATCTTGTATTGATACACAGTGTCTGATGTGTACAGTCCCTCAATCTTGTATTGATACACAGTGTCTGATGTGTACAGTCCCTCCATCTTGTATTGATACACAGTGTCTGATGTGTACAGTCCCTCCATCTTGTATTGATACACAGCATGGTTGATACACAGTGTCTGATATGTACAGTCCCTTCATCTTGTATTGATACACAGTGTCTGATGTGTACAGTCCCTCCATCTTGTATTGATACACAGTGTCTGATGTGTACAGTCCCTCCATCTTGTATTGATACACAGCATGGTTGATACACTGTGTCTGATATGTACAGTCCCTTCATCTTGTATTGATACACAGTGTCTGATGTGTACAGTCCCTCCATCTTGTATTGATACACAGTGTCTGATGTGTACAGTCCCTCCATCTTGTATTGATACACAGTGTCTAATGTGTACAGTCCCTCCATCTTGTATTGATACACAGTGTCTGATGTGTACAGTCCCTCCATCTTGTATTGATACACAGTATGGTTGATACACAGTGTCTGATATGTACAGTCCCTTCATCTTGTATTGATACACAGTGTCTGATGTGTACAGTCCCTCCATCTTGTATTGATACACAGCATGGTTGATACACAGTGTCTGATGTGTACAGTCCCTCCATCTTGTATTGATACACAGTGTCTGATGTGTACAGTCCCTCCATCTTGTATTGATACACAGCATGGTTGATACACAGTGTCTGATATGTACAGTCCCTCCATCTTGTATTGATACACAGTGTCTGATATGTACAGTCCCTCCATCTTGTATTGATACACAGTGTCTGATGTGTACAGTCCCTCAATCTTGTATTGATACACAGTGTCTGATGTGTACAGTCCCTCCATCTTGTATTGATACACAGCATGGTTGATACACAGTGTCTGATATGTACAGTCCCTCCATCTTGTATTGATACACAGTGTCTGATGTGTACAGTCCCTCCATCTTGTATTGATACACAGTGTCTGATGTGTACAGTCCCTCCATCTTGTATTGAAACACAGTGTCTGATGTGTACAGTCCCTCCATCTTGTTTTGATACACAGTGTCTGATGTGTACAGTACCTCCATCTTGTATTGATACACAGTGTCTGATGTGTACACTCCCTCCATCTTGTATTGATACACAGTGTCTGATGTGTACAGTCCCTCCATCTTGTATTGATACACATTGTCTGTTGTGTACACTCCCTCCATCTTGTATTGATACACAGTATGGTTGATACACAGTGTCTGATGTGTACAGTCCCTCCATCTTGTATTGATACACATTGTCTGATGTGTACAGTCCCTCAATCTTGTATTGATACACAGTGTCTGATGTGTACAGTCCCTCCATCTTGTATTGATACACAGTGTCTGAAGTTGTATCAGACTTCCTTTCCAAATTAAACAGACCAGAGGAGAGGCAGAGGTAAGTCCAAGGAGTTGTGTCCCTTGGCCTTGTCTGGATCTGCTGATCAAAGGTTTAAATCACAGATTCACACTAATTATGATTATAAATGATGATTATGATTATGATTCCTACCAAAGTGATAAACCATTAATATGTGTCACTTTAGACTTTCTTCCCTCATTGGGGTCACCAATGTGCCACATTTTGCTCTGCGGAGTTGCACCCCTTAGGAATGCCAGGATCTTATGATTGTGGGTTTGAATAGCAGGTTTGCTCTGATTATGCTCTAGGTTTGTCAGCACCATACTCGTACTAGTGGATTTCACCAAAGTGGTAAACATCTGAAACCTGCATCACTTTTTCTCCCACATCAAGCTGACACGCTGTGATATATCGAGAATACTCTTTAAAGTGGTGTTAAACCCAGCTCACTCACTCACTCACTTTCCTCCCTCATTAAGCAGAGAGACTGAATCAACTCAAATACTGTTACATTCAGCCTTGCCCCGACCACCCTGGTCGCCACACATCTGACTGTACTCTCCAGCTCTGATGGCCAAGTGGTGACAAGCCTGTTAACATGACTGAGTGATGCACATGTACCTGCCAGCCTGTCGCTCACATGTACAGGGAGTCGGTGCCACTTGGTGAGTGATGTAGGGATCACCTGGACATGGGCAACCCTTACTGGCAAACTGCAACACAGTTTGCTGTTATAGTGTCTCCAGCTGTGTTATACTGTCTCCAGTTGTGTTACACTGTCTCCAGCTGTGTTACAGTGTCTCCAGCTGTGTTATACTGTCTCCAGTTGTGTTACAGTATCTCCAGCTGTGTTACAGTGTCTCCAGCTGTGTTATACTGTCTCCAGTTGTGTTATACTGTCTCCAGTTGTGTTACACTGTCTCCAGCTGTGTTACAGTGTCTCCAGCTGTGTTATACTGTCTCCAGTTGTGTTATACTGTCTCCAGTTGTATTACAGTGTCTCCAGGTGTGTTATACTGTCTCCAGCTGTGTTATAGTGTCTCCAGTTGTGTTACAGTGTCTCCAGTTGTGTCATAGTGTCTCCAGTTGTGTTATACTGTCTCCAGTTGTGCTATAGTGTCTCCAGTTGTATTACAGTGTCTCCAGGTGTGTTATAGTGTCTCCAGCTGTGTTATAGTGTCTCTAGTTGTGTTACAGTGTCTCCAGTTGTGGTATAGTATCTCCAGCTGTGTTAGTGTTTCAGTTGTGTTATACTGTCTCCAGTTGTGCTATAGTGTCTCCAGTTGTATTACAGTGTCTCCAGGTGTGTTATAGTGTCTCCAGCTGTGTTATAGTGTCTCCAGTTGTGTTATACTGTCTCCAGTTGTGTCATAGTGTCTCCAGCTGTGTTATAGTGTCTCCAGTTGTGTTATAGTGTCTCCAGTTGTGGTATAGTGTCTCCAGCTGTGTGATAGTGTCTCCAGTTGTGTTATAGTGTCTCCAGTTGTGCTATTGTGTCTCCAGTTGTGCTATAGTGTCTCCAGTTGTGTTGTAGTGTCTCCAGTTGTATCACAGTGTCTCCAGTTGTGTTATAGTGTCTCCAGTTGTGTTATAGTATCTCCAATTGTGTTATAGTGTCTCCAGCTGTGTTACAGTGTCTCCATCTGTGTTACAGTGTCTCCAGTTGTGTTATAGTGTCTCCAGTTGTGTTATAGTGTTTCCAGTTGTGTTACACTGTCTCCAGCTGTGTTATAGTGTCACAAAATGTGTAATAGTGTCTCAGTTGTGTTATAGTGTCTCTAGTTGTGTTACACTGTCTCGAATTGTGTTATAGTGTCTCCAGTTGTTACCGTGTCTCCAGTTGTGTTATAATGTC